GAAAAAAAACGAAAGGGGTAACACTGTCGTTTTTTTTTCGGGTCGAAATTTTGAATTTCGATATCTCAGCTCTGGAAGGGTCTAGAGCCTCCATTTTTGCACTCAGGTCAAAGTCTCACAGCCCTCTATCATAATCCAGAGTTTTGAGAAGATTGGAGAAACTTAATTTTTCGCCCAAAAATGAAAAAAAACGAAAGGGGTAACACTGTCGTTTTTTTTTTCGGGTCGAAATTTTGAATTTCGATATCTCAGCTCTGGAAGGGTCTAGAGCCTCCATTTTTGCACTCAGGTCAAAGTCTCACAGCCCTCTATCATAATCCAGAGTTTTGAGAAGATTGGAGAAACTTAATTTTTCGCCCAAAAATGAAAAAAAACGAAAGGGGTAACACTGTCGTTTTTTTTTCGGGTCGAAATTTTGAATTTCGATATCTCAGCTCTGGAAGGGTCTAGAGCCTCCATTTTTGCACTCAGGTCAAAGTCTCACAGCCCTCTATCATAATCCAGAGTTTTGAGAAGATTGGAGAAACTTAATTTTTCGCCCAAAAATGAAAAAAAACGAAAGGGGTAACACTGTCGTTTTTTTTTCGGGTCGAAATTTTGAATTTCGATATCTCAGCTCTGGAAGGGTCTAGAGCCTCCATTTTTGCACTCAGGTCAAAGTCTCACAGCCCTCTATCATAATCCAGAGTTTTGAGAAGATTGGAGAAACTTAATTTTTCGCCCAAAAATGAAAAAAAACGAAAGGGGTAACACTGTCGTTTTTTTTTTCGGGTCGAAATTTTGAATTTCGATATCTCAGCTCTGGAAGGGTCTAGAGCCTCCATTTTTGCACTCAGGTCAAAGTCTCACAGCCCTCTATCATAATCCAGAGTTTTGAGAAGATTGGAGAAACTTAATTTTTCGCCCAAAAATGAAAAAAAACGAAAGGGGTAACACTGTCGTTTTTTTTTCGGGTCGAAATTTTGAATTTCGATATCTCAGCTCTGGAAGGGTCTAGAGCCTCCATTTTTGCACTCAGGTCAAAGTCTCACAGCCCTCTATCATAATCCAGAGTTTTGAGAAGATTGGAGAAACTTAATTTTTCGCCCAAAAATGAAAAAAAACGAAAGGGGTAACACTGTCGTTTTTTTTTTCGGGTCGAAATTTTGAATTTCGATATCTCAGCTCTGGAAGGGTCTAGAGCCTCCATTTTTGCACTCAGGTCAAAGTCTCACAGCCCTCTATCATAATCCAGAGTTTTGAGAAGATTGGAGAAACTTAATTTTTCGCCCAAAAATGAAAAAAAACGAAAGGGGTAACACTGTCGTTTTTTTTTTCGGGTCGAAATTTTGAATTTCGATATCTCAGCTCTGGAAGGGTCTAGAGCCTCCATTTTTGCACTCAGGTCAAAGTCTCACAGCCCTCTATCATAATCCAGAGTTTTGAGAAGATTGGAGAAACTTAATTTTTCGCCCAAAAATGAAAAAAAACGAAAGGGGTAACACTGTCGTTTTTTTTTCGGGTCGAAATTTTGAATTTCGATATCTCAGCTCTGGAAGGGTCTAGAGCCTCCATTTTTGCACTCAGGTCAAAGTCTCACAGCCCTCTATCATAATCCAGAGTTTTGAGAAGATTGGAGAAACTTAATTTTTCGCCCAAAAATGAAAAAAAACGAAAGGGGTAACACTGTCGTTTTTTTTTCGGGTCGAAATTTTGAATTTCGATATCTCAGCTCTGGAAGGGTCTAGAGCCTCCATTTTTGCACTCAGGTCAAAGTCTCACAGCCTCTATCATAATCCAGAGTTTTGAGAAGATTGGAGAAACTTAATTTTTCGCCCAAAAATGAAAAAAAACGAAAGGGGTAACACTGTCGTTTTTTTTTCGGGTCGAAATTTTGAATTTCGATATCTCAGCTCTGGAAGGGTCTAGAGCCTCCATTTTTGCACTCAGGTCAAAGTCTCACAGCCCTCTATCATAATCCAGAGTTTTGAGAAGATTGGAGAAACTTAATTTTTCGCCCAAAAATGAAAAAAAACGAAAGGGGTAACACTGTCGTTTTTTTTTTCGGGTCGAAATTTTGAATTTCGATATCTCAGCTCTGGAAGGGTCTAGAGCCTCCATTTTTGCACTCAGGTCAAAGTCTCACAGCCCTCTATCATAATCCAGAGTTTTGAGAAGATTGGAGAAACTTAATTTTTCGCCCAAAAATGAAAAAAAACGAAAGGGGTAACACTGTCGTTTTTTTTTCGGGTCGAAATTTTGAATTTCGATATCTCAGCTCTGGAAGGGTCTAGAGCCTCCATTTTTGCACTCAGGTCAAAGTCTCACAGCCCTCTATCATAATCCAGAGTTTTGAGAAGATTGGAGAAACTTAATTTTTCGCCCAAAAATGAAAAAAAAAACGAAAGGGGTAACACTGTCGTTTTTTTTTCGGGTCGAAATTTTGAAGTTTGATATCTCAGCTCTGGAAGGGTCTAGAGCCTCCATTTTTGCACTCAGGTCAAAGTCTCACAGCCCTCTATCATAATCCAGAGTTTTGAGAAGATTGGAGAAACTTAATTTTTCGCCCAAAAATGAAAAAAAAAACGAAAGGGGTAACACTGTCGTTTTTTTTTCGGGTCGAAATTTTGAGTTTCGATATCTCAGCTCTGGAAGGGTCTAGAGCCTCCATTTTTGCACTCAGGTCAAAGTCTCACAGCCCTCTATCATAATCCAGAGTTTTGAGAAGATTGGAGAAACTTAATTTTTCGCCCAAAAATGAAAAAAAACGAAAGGGGTAACACTGTCGTTTTTTTTTCGGGTCGAAATTTTGAGTTTCGATATCTCAGCTCTGGAAGGGTCTAGAGCCTCCATTTTTGCACTCAGGTCAAAGTCTCACAGCCCTCTATCATAATCCAGAGTTTTGAGAAGATTGGAGAAACTTAATTTTTCGCCCAAAAATGAAAAAAAAAACGAAAGGGGTAACACTGTCGTTTTTTTTTCGGTTTGAAATTTTGAAGTTTGATATCTCAGCTCTGGAAGGGTCTAGATCATCCATTTTTGCACTCAGGTCAAAGTCTCAGAGCCCTCTATCATAATCCAGAGTTTTGAGAAGATTGGAGACACTTAATTTTTCGCCCAAAAATGAAAAAAAAAAAACGAAAGGGGTAACACTGTCGTTTTTTTTTTCGGGTCGAAATTTTGAGTTTCGATATCTCAGCTCTGGAAGGGTCTAGAGCCTCCATTTTTGCACTCAGGTCAAAGTCTCACAGCCCTCAGAATCCAGAGTTTTGAGAAGATTGGAGAAACTTAATTTTTCACCCAAAAATGAAAAAAAACGAAAGGGGTAACACTGTCGTTTTTTTTTTCGGGTCGAAATTTTGAGTTTCGATATCTCAGCTCTGGATGGGTCTAGAGCCTCCATTTTTGCACTCAGGTCAAAGTCTCACAGCCCTCTATCATAATCCAGAGTTGAGAGAAGATTGGAGAAACTTAATTTTTCGCCCAAAAATGAAAAAAAAAAACGAAAGGAGTAACACTGTCGTTTTTTTTTCGGGTCGAAATTTTGAAGTTTGATATCTCAGCTCTGGAAGGGTCTAGATCATCCATTTTTGCACTCAGGTCAAAGTCTCAGAGCCCTCTATCATAATCCAGAGTTTTGAGAAGATTGGAGACACTTAATTTTTCGCCCAAAAATGAAAAAAAAAAAAAAAACGAAAGGGGTAACACTGTCGTTTTTTTTTTCGGGTCGAAATTTTGAGTTTCGATATCTCAGCTCTGGAAGGGTCTAGAGCCTCCATTTTTGCACTCAGGTCAAAGTCTCACAGCCCTCTTTTAGAATCCAGAGTTTTGAGAAGATTGGAGAAACTTAATTTTTCGCCCAAAAATGAAAAAAAAAATGACAGTGGTAACAGTGTTGTCTTTTTTTTTGGGTCGAAATTTTGAGTTTCTCCAATCTTCTTGAAACTCTGGATTCTGATAGAGGGGCATGGGCCTTAGACCTGAGTCAGTGCGTTTATAGTGCAATTTATACGCGAAAATTAGTTTTTACATGCATAGGAAATGCACCGTGTGTAATATACGTTTGGTTAGGATTATGGCAAGCCAAGAGGTTCAGAATTACACCATAAATTAATCGCGTTTACTGCCATAGTTATTAACATATAGTAAGGATAAGCATGATGTGTATATTGTCTAATTGCAAGCTTGTTTCAGAAATGGTGAATTTTTTTTTCCATCATTATTGAACATCATTATAGGAGTATTAGGTTGAATGAGTTAGAATTAAATGTTTTATTAATCATTAGAAAATAGACATTAAGAAAATAAATTACGCAAGTACTTTTACTTTTAATGCTTAAAGTACATTTAAAATCAGGTACTTTTTACTTAAGTATGGTTGTTATTGTGTTACTTCTACTTTTACTAAAGTAAATATTTATCTGGTTATTTGTATTTTTACTTAAGTACTGAGATTCAGTACTTCCTCCACCACTGGTAACAATTTCCTCATTCGAAAAAAACTGCATATTTGCTAAGAACCTTAAAGTGACACTCAGGATTATCCTAAATAATATACATTAGAAAAAATATAATGATTTGAATAAAATGATTTGATTTGAAAATCAACCCACACTATTAGATATCAGAAGTTATAATCTATAATATACTCGTGCATTTTTTTAATGCATAAAATTTTACTACATATTACTAGCGCAATGCTTGTACAAAATCAGTTTTTGTTGGTCTGGTATGTTTGAGTTTCTGAATAGCCTAGGCTACTATTACACAGGAGCCTAAACTCTGAGAAAACGATTACATTAAGCGCACCAGAATAAAATGCAGCAGGACATCGGACTAACGGTTCGAGAGATATTCGATTCGAACAGACACAGACAGACGTTGTGATTAGATAGATAGCTAGATAGCCTTACTATATATATATATATATATATATATATATATATATATATATACCAATATTCCCTTATTATCCAGCACAAGAATTTAGTGCCCATTCAAAAAGCCAGAACATATTCATCTTTACTTTATTATAGTTTATTATGGTTATAAGACAAGTATATGACAACTGGGAAATAAAAAGATTTAATACAAATGGCTATGACAAAATGATATACTGTACATGTAACTACCAAAAACATTTAAATGTATTTTGAGAGTTTTCAAAGTTGCCGTCAAGCCCAAGTGTGAAGCCCAAGAAACGGTAACAGTTTTAAACAGAAAAGGCCCTGTGTGTGCAGTCCAGGTCACGCAATGAACTTTGGCACCAGAAGGACGATGAAGCCTGAAACCCTGAAACTGATTCATTGTTGTCGAGTTTCCCTTACACTGTGATTCAGATCTCTGAATCAGCTTTTTCAAGTACTGCCCTCTTCTCAGAGCAGAAGGTTTGCGGCGCCACGCGCATCAGCGCTGGACGTGCCGGACGAAGGCTTGGACCAGCTGGATGAAGGGCTCCTGGCCCTCCGGCGTGCCCTTGGATCCTGGTGCGGGTGGTTTGGTTTGTGGTGAGGGAAGCAGCCCGCTCGCTGGGGAGGAAGGGGAACCTCGGCGGAAAAACCGGAATAATGTGGACAATAGTGTACTCTGAAAGAAACAGAAGAGACCAGATGGAATGGACTGAACAGAGAGGTCAAATATCTTCAGCAAATAGGTCAAAAACACTGTAGAAAAGCATTGTTCACATTCAGCCAGGATTCATTTATTCTTTTTTAATAGGCTATATATATATATATATATATATAAAAACCGGTATATATAAAAATCTAATGTATATATTTTGGGGAAAATACTGTGTTAATTTAAGATTATTTTTCACAGCAAGTGATTAGTAGATTGTAAAAAAAAAAAAATAAATAAATAAAAAGAACATTTTGCTTTTTGTTTTTTCAAGTAAAGACTGAAGACCTACTGTATTTTTGAGGACTATTTTACACTGTGACACTTTTAGTGAAAATGTATTGGCCTTTAATTAATGCTGATCATAACTTGATGGAAAATAAGGGGAAAACAATACAAACAGGATAATTATGGTTTTACAGTAATAACAATAACCCACAAATTTAAATAAATACATAATAAAGCAGATAAATAAAGGCATGGGGGGGTTGATTCATTGGAAATGTCACAAAACAAAAAAATCTTTATTGTTAGAAAATTAGATTTTGATGTCAAATTAATTTTACTTTTATTTAAATAACAAATAAATAAAAGGGTATATGTAGGGAAAAAGATAATTAATTGAAAATGTCACAAAACGAAAATGTAATATTTTTTTATTAAGTAATTGTGGTGAATAACTCACCAGCTCTGAGCTGAGCTCCTGTTTAAGTCTCTGTTTGTCTCGGGGCAAAACTGAAGGATCCTTCAGACAACGGACAGCCTGAGAGATCAACACGTAGAAGCAGTTCTCCATGGAGAACATCAGCAAAGACCTGGAAGCAGAGGCCGAGAGATGATGAGATACGGTCCGACTGAAGAACCATACGCACACAGACAGCATCACAGGCGTTTCCTGCTCACTTTAGTGCTTGTGTGTCCTCAGAGGAGACAACCGGCTCTTTCTTCTTCTCAATCTAAACAGAAAACAATTCAAATCACCAATTTAAATACCATGACGATCTACAAGAGACGAAAAGGGGAAAAGTGCAGCACTACCTCTCCCAGCATGCTCAGCGCCACATTAATAGTGGCCATCAGAGTGCCAAACGACGGCGCCACATCGGAGTCAAACGCAGGAGTGGTGAAACTCAACACAAACAGAGTCCTGTACTCCGCAAGGTCCATAGACTAAAACACACACACAATAAAACATGAATATGAATGAATATTTCTGCATGATTATGAATGTGTGTGTGTGTGTGTGTGTGTGTACCTGGTCCAGTAATATCTGACAGCAGTCGGGCGTGAAGTGCTGTAACGTGGCCAGTGTTTTACTGAGGATTTTTAACAGGCTGCACTGCACCGCCTGCAGGGCTTTAGACTCCGCCTCTTCTCTCTCGCCCTCCACCTGCTCTTTAGAGGCGGGCTGAGCGGCACGCTGGGGGTGTGGCCCCTGAGGAAGCCCCTCCCCATTCTTAACCTGGCCAAACACACACATATTAAAGCGATCACATTCAGCGCAGACAGAGTCAAGTCACCTTGATTTATATAGCGCTTTTAACAATATAGATCGTTTCAAAGCAGCTTCACAGTGATAATAGGACAGAGAGTAACAGAGAATATTCTAGAAACAAAACAAAGTTATTGTCCAGCACAGACACTAAGGCCTTGTCTACACTTGTCTGATATGTGTTTGTTTAAAAACACATACTTTTCTCTCAGTTTAAGCCTTCCGTTCACACCGAGACGAGCTAAGCTTTTTGAAAACGCGCTCCAAAGTAGATGCATTAGAAACCTCTGTTTTCGCATTGTAGTTTGAACTGTGAAACTGGAATTATTTGAAAACGATGACCAGTTTAGTCATGGGACGCATGTTGAACCTATTGAAATTCATGTTTATACTGTATTGTGCCAGTTATGTGCAATTCACTTTCGCACCGTTGCTAAAATATGTCCTTTGTACACTCTTCAGGTCACAGTCCTCCAAAGATGACTGAAAATGTACTCACGAAAGGGACGCTCAGTGGATGGGGAGATAGTTTGCTAAATAAAATGATCCTGCCAGGAAAATTGCGTGATGACTTGATAAAATCTTGTTCCGTCTGTATCACCTCAGTGAGCTTTTATGAGGGTTATGCATGCGCAGTAAGGTGAATTTAGCATTAGCAAAAAGCTAATGTCGATGGAGAGCATTTTGAAACGACAACTAAACCTTCAAATCTATCCGGATTATTAATGCAGACATAGCCTAAAAGATCATCCGTGTTTCGCTTCTTCCTGTCTCATACCTGCAGGTAATGGTGCAGCATCTTCTTGCTGTGAAGGAGGTACGTACACGTCTGACACAGATAGCACAGATTCACCTGAAACACACGCACACATGAATCATTATTGTCATGTAGACCAGGGGATCACAAACAAGGCCCTGGGACATAAAACCTCAGGGGGGTAGTTAAGTATTTATTTCAGTTAATATTTCAATAATTTAAAAACACAATTGTACAATTCTCTGATGTCTAATGTTTACAAATAAACCGACAAAATCAGTGTTCAATTGATTGTTTTTTTCTATTATATGTACAGTATGGGGCTGTATGGGCTGGCCAAAAAATATAGTGTTTTTAGCGATTTCCAGTGGCAGTGTAGTCTTTGTTCTTAGTAGTTACTTTTTAGGGTGTTCACACTTTCATAGGAACTAAATAACATGACAAGTTACAGTTCATATTATTATTAAATTCATTCACTTAAAAAAGTGAATTCTTGAACTTGTAACATGAAATCTTCGAGCTGTAAACTTTTTGTCCACAAAAACGTTAGAAATTATGCAAATGTAAATAAAATGCCTAAATGCATGTTAAACACTATTTTACATTGAAAGCGTGTAAATGAATAGTGTCAAGGGGGTCGCACACCGGACGAGAAGCGCGTGTCGCACACCGGGCGCACACATTCTAATCACGCGAGCTCAATTTTGAATCAACTCCTGGTAGAGAGCTGCACGATGTGCGAGTTTTAACTTTTTTTTTAATGCTGATTGAATAATAGCTGATGTTTGAACGTTAATCAAGTAAAAGTGTCTATTATGTTAAGTCTGTTATTTTGTTGTAATGTTATCCCTTGTCTAGGCAACTATGTCACATAATACAATAGTATTTATTTAGCTAACGTTTAGCTAGCCCGAGTGAAAACAGCACAGGGTGAAGCCATGTACATTAATGACGATTTGAGACAAATAAATGTAAATTTAATATAAAACTATGCAAATGGTGCTCTGTGGCGCGGCAGGGTTTTGAACAAGGTCCTGAGCCGTAGCTGGGCGCCGTGGACAGACGCCACCAGTGTGTACACACATAGAGCATAATGTGTTCGAATTTTAAAGACATGATGCTGCGTGGTGCTTCTCATGCGTTGTGTGACCCCCTTCACTCTTCACTCTGGCACATGCAGGGCAACAGACTCTATACTTAAATTAAAATTGAAGCCTTTGATTTGATAATTGTGATTTGATAACATCTCGATTTCAGTTTTATTTTGATTGTGTAGCACCATGTTTATTTTAATGTTACACTGGACTGAATGAATAAATATGTTTTCATGGACTCACACACCCCCAGCTGTAGTGAAAGAGTAGTGATGGACTGTGTACCTGCACGTCTCTCAGCAGCTGCGGCAGGTGGAACTGCCACTCCTTGCAGAAGTTGGAGAGCTGGAGCAAGAAGCCCACCGTGTGATCGGCCTCATCCAGACACGCCAGAGACTGAACCGTCCTCACCGCATTCAGACACTACAACAACAGGAGAACAACTCAAATCACATCATTCTTATTAATCAACACTTTCAATGAGCAGTCATGTTGTCACGACAGAATAGGGCAGAACATTTTTTTTATTTGAATTGAAAAAATATTTTACACATCACGGTTGCATTGTTGTATTACTAAATCATAATCGGTAAGAAAATAATGGGGGGGTGGGGGGGTCTAGACAATACTAATTATCATATTTGTAAGACAGTACAGTACCTATCCTGTAGATGGGAAATAAAATGTTATTTTTTAATTATTATTACATTTGTAGATTGAGTAATAGAACAATAGATGAAAATAGACTTCACAACAACTTATAGAACAATAGATTCAATAGATAAAAAATAGATTAAAAAAACTGATATAAATAGATAAAAAATGATTTAAAAATAAATAAAACAAAAACGATAAGATGGATAGAAAGAATGACCAAAAGAACGGTAGATAGAATGATAGAGAAATTTATAGAACGATAGACATATAGATCTATAGAAAGATACAGAGCAATAGATATAGAATGGATAAAGAGATATTAAGAAGCATTGACAGAATGGGAGTTTGAACAAGTAATATATATATACACTCACCGGCCACTTTATTAGGTACCCCATGCTAGTAACGGGTTGGACCCCCTTTTGCCTTCAGAACTGCCTCAATTCTTCGTGGCATAGATTCAACAAGGTGCTGGAAGCATTCCTCAGGGAGTTTGGTCCATATTGACATGATGGCATCACACAGTTGCCACAGATTTGTCGGCTGCACATCCATGATGCGAATCTCCCGTTCCACCACATCCCAAAGATGCTCTATTGGATTGAGATCTGGTGACTGTGGAGGCCATTTGAGTACAGCGAACTCATTGTCATGTTCAAGAAACCAGTCTGAGATGATTCCAGCTTTATGACATGGCGCATTATCCTGCTGAAAGTAGCCATCAGAAGTTGGGTACATTGTGGTCATAAAGGGATGGACATGGTCAGCAACAATACTCAGGTAGGCTGTGGCGTTGCAACGATGCTCAATTGGTACCAAGGGGCCCAAAGAGTGCCAAGAAAATATTCCCCACACCATGACACCACCACCACCAGCCTGAACCGTTGATACAAGGCAGGATGGATCCATGCTTTCATGTTGTAGACGCCAAATTCTGACCCTACCATCCGAATGTCGCAGCAGAAATCGAGACTCATCAGACCAGGCAACGTTTTTCCAATCTTCTATTGTCCAATTTCGATGAGCTTGTGCAAATTGTAGCCTCAGTTTCCTGTTCTTAGCTGAAAGGAGTGGCACCCGGTGTGGTCTTCTGCTGCTGTAGCCCATCTGCCTCAAAGTTCGACGTACTGTGCGTTCAGAGATGCTCTTCTGCCCACCTTGGTTGTAACGGGTGGTTATTTGAGTCACTGTTGACCTTCTATCAGCTCGAACCAGTCTGGCCATTCTCCTCTGACCTCTGGCATCAACAAGGCATTTCCGCCCACGGAACTGCCGCTCACTGGATGTTTTTTTCTTTTTCGGACCATTCTCTGTAAACCCTAGAGATGGTTGTGCGTGAAAATCCCAGTAGATTAGCAGTTTCTGAAATACTCAGACCAGCCCTTCTGCCACCAACAATCATGCCACGTTCAAAGTTACTCAAATCACCTTTCTTCCCCATACTGATGCTCGGTTTGAACTGCAGGAGATTGTCTTGACCATGTCTACATGCCTAAATGCACTGAGTTGCCGCCATGTGATTGGCTGCTTAGAAATTAAGTGTTAACGAGCAGTTGGACAGGTGTACCTAATAAAGTGGCCGGTGAGTGTATATATATATATATATATATATATATATATAATGTAAAATAGATAGAATGATAGATGATAGTACAACAGAGAGCAATAGATGAAACGATAGATAGATAGATGTCTCACAAACCTGAAGGATGCGCTCTTGGTGCACACCCACAAAGTCGAGCGCCTCATTAATGAAGTTGTAACGGAGAGTTTTCAGCAGACTTTCCATCAGAGACAAACACAATCTGTACACACCAGGCCAGCTGGGAGCGTCCTGAGACTTACGCACAAACGCCTGAGAGAGAGAGAGAGAGAGAGAGAGAGAGAGAGAGAAAACGAGAGCAGGGCTTTAAGACAACCTCTAACCCTCTTTAGAACAATCAAGCTGAAGTCTTAGTTTAAGTCAGTACCTGAGAGGCTCCATTAGCTGGACCCTCATACACACTGAGGAGAGGAAGACAGATGCTCTGGATCACTCCGGCACCTGCCACTGCTGCCGCCCCCTACAGATCAGGAGGAACATCATCACAAACACTTCATGCACAACAGCACTGAGAAGTCAGAATCATTTTAGCTAATCAGGTATATCAGGTTCCCAAAAGTCCTATTGTGTCATTTTAGAGTAAAATACACATTTAATTTGTTTATGATCTCAAATTGATGTCACCCATCTCACAGTTATAACCTTCCCAAAGTTTCATGTAATAAAATGTAATGAATTAAAATAAGAAAGATCTTATTTAGTTTTAGTTTATTTTAATGCTTATTTTGAAGACTCCCTGGTTGAGAACCACTGATTCAAAAGCAAGCTTCATCAGTGAGTCAGGCATCACTCATTAATCAGGCATGTGATTGGCTAAGGACAAAAAAGCAGGAAAATATACCGAGCCAACTACTCAAGTTGTTTTAAACCTGAATAAGTTTCTTTCTTCTGTTTAAGTTATTTGGAAGAATGTGGGTAAAAAAACAGTTGATGTACCCCAGTGATTTCCATACTAAATTTTTCCCTATGGAAGTCAATGGGGACCAGCAACTGTCTGGTTACCCACATCTTCTTTTTTGTTCAGCACAAGAAATAAATTAATACAGGTTTGGAACAACAACATTACAGTGAATAAATAATGACAGAATTTTTATTTTGGGGTCAACTATCCCTTTAAGAACAAGCGGCTTCATTTTTATTATTAGGGCTACTGTCACTTTAAGACCTGTACGCGACACGTCTAATATACACGGAGCATTTGACAAGCAGATTTCTCTCAATTTTCTCGGTTTGCTTTCAGTTGGCCTCCCCCGAGAAAATTTTGATTTCTCTGACCAAATTATGTGCCATTTAAGACTTTTGAAGGCCAAAAAAAGGATAATAAATAGCTTTAAAACCATGTCAGTGGGCATTCGATTATTTTGTCAATAGCCTGCTCTCTTCTCATCTACATCTTTATTTTTCTCAGTCTCCTTATCCTGCCCTATTTCTTCCCCTCCTAAACTCCTAAACCCCCTGAACTTTGACTGATAGTCTTTCATTTTCATCTGTCAGTGAAGTAAATAATTGATAATTATATGTTTCATGAATTTCATGCATTCTCAGGATTCTATGCAGCATTAAATGCACGCAGGTGATTTTTGAATATTAATGAACGAATATTAATGTCGATATACAATGGTTTGTTAAAACTAATCCTGCTATTGATCTCTTTGTAAGACCCAAACAGCGGCTATAGGGAAAACAAATGTCAGGCGAAATATTTCGGACCTAAAACTAACTTTACCGCGCTCAACCACCGCAAGTGCATTTCAAGCATTTGTAAAGCCTTGTGTATAACTAGACGCGTCCGCACGAGCGCGGGGCTCCGCGCGCACCTCTCCAAACGGACGAGGCGTTTATAGCTACTTTATATAGTTTACTTTATGCTGTTATACTTTATACAGTTTATACTTTATATAGTTTATACTTTGTGTTTATCGCTCGTGTTCAGCGGGGAGGAAGGGAAGTTGGTCCATATCGGGAGAAGCAAGATTCGTTGAGATTAATTAATCTATTTATTTATTAATTTATCTGAGGTGCCGGAACGCAGTTCCGGACCACTTTAACCCCTGGACATAACCAAATGTTCTTATGTAAACCTTGTGTATATTTGAGAGTATTAGCGAAATAATACTACTCGAAAGATAACTTAGTCCAGCAACCAGGCGCTGTTAGACAAGCTTTTAGTGCATGAGCACGTCGGGTGTTCGCGCTCAGAACAGCGCATTAGCAGTGAATGACATGTTTAACCGGCAAGGCTTTAAAGCAGATGCAAATTAACTTTTGTGAACTCGCTGAACTGATGTAGCCGTTCCTCTGCGAGTATTTGTCGCGTTGTACACTAATGCTGTTGAGACGGAGGTGTCAGGAGGACTGCAACTGACAGAATGCACGATATAGCTGCAGTCTGCAGCTTGCTTGGAGCAAGGATCATAGCGCAAATTTGAAATATATCGATATATCGCCCAGCCCTGGTGACCTAACTGTGATGTTCTTGTCAACTGACAAAGATACCAGCGCGAGAGCGACTGAGATACGAAATTGAGCAGGTGAAGAAGCTGAACCAAGAAGCTGAACCAAGACATTCTCTGGCTGAACGCAAATACGTCCTTGTTGATACTTTGAAAGGAACTTTCTGTACGCACGTCAGCCAGTTATGGGTTATGTCCTCATATTCTCTCCTTTTCACTCCGGCTGCCGGCTGCCGACACCCTACACCCCCCCCCCCCCTTTTTTTTTTTTTTTACAGATCTGCATGATTCACGTAGGTCACATTTTCAGGTCGGAAAATCCGGAATTCCGGATTAATCCGGAAAAATCACATCCCTGATTAATGAAGGATAAAAGCATCGGTCTGTGGTTTGTAAAGCGGCTGAACTGTCAGATTTGTACCTGCGGTGTTCTCGCGAGTGTGAGCAGCAGATGAAGCGCTGCCTCGGTGAAGTAAAGGTTCTGTTTGGAGCGCAGACTCAGTTCTAGAGCGCTCAGAACCGACGGCAGAACTGGCAGCTTCCGGACCACCTGCAGCCACTGCTCACCATCCTCATCGGCACGACACAACTCTTTAGAGAGATGAAGAGCTAACACACACACCTGAGACAGAGAGAGACACCGGTTATGCTCTGAATAGAATACCTGCATACGGTGTAGTGTTGTCACGGTACCAAAATTTCAGTATTCGGTACCAATACCAGTTAAAATTCACGGTTCTCGGTACCAATTTCGGTACCAAAGCTTAGTTTAAATTTACATATATTTAAGTGTTTATCACGGTTATAAGTATGGAAACTGTACATTTGTATTATAAACACTTTAGAAAAAGATTAGATAAAATGACCTAAAATAAACAATAGTATACACCAACACATTTTTGTTTGTAAAGTTTTAATCCATTATTTATTTAATGCACAATGAATTAAGTGAACAAACATGAACAATCAGGTGTTTGTAATAAATAACATTTTCAAACATTAATTAATGTTGTAAAAATATATTGTTCACTCAATGTGTTGATAACTAAGTAATGTTGATGAATGGTATCTTTGTAGCATTACCATAAAACATGTTTTATTTGACTTGACTGTCCTTTTATTTAATCTAAAACTGCATTCATATTTAATTTTAAAAAGGCTTTTTAAACCTGCTGAGTTATAAAGGCAAGAATACGCCTAGAACTGGCACTGACATTAAATGACATAAATAGGGATGCATCGATACTAATACCAGTAGTACTCTGGTGTCGGGTGGATACTACTGTGCTCATGTACTCGTAAAACTACCCCGAAAGCACTTTAGAGGCCGTTCACATGTCGCACGTGTTTTTTAATGATATTTTTGCGCGTGCTTATTCTTTCCAAAGCTCTTGCTCTCACGCGGCGTCTGTCGTTGCTACGCAACGCCAACGAGTTTTTATTATGAGCGCGCTTGAATCACGCCTATATTTGAAATTGCAAATTTGCATGTAATCGGCATCTTATGGCAACGTGACGTTAGCCTAATCCAAAATATTTCCATATGTGGCTCTTTCCTCCTTTCGTTTCAACAAGTGGATTCAGAGAGAGAGCCATATCAGCGTTATAAAGAGGACGCAACTGTGCACGTTTCAGACATCGCGTCTAGAACAGAACTGGATTAACCTGGTATTCGGTACCTAGAAAAGCTGGTACCGTAACATTTTTTTTTTTTAGTACCGACTTGGTACCGAAGTACCGAGTTTTTTGACAACACTAGTGTATACTATCATACTGCACAATATTATATACACTGCCTATAAAACACTATGTGAACAGCACATTATATTCAAATCACTTGAGTAGTATACTACATTATTGTCACATAATTTTACCATAATGAAATAAAATAAAGCAAATATAATTAATTAAAATGATAGTATTTAAATTAATTTAAATTTAGCAGGAAGCATTCAGGTATCTGCTACTTTGTGTTTTTAATCGGATTTCTTGTCTCAGAAAAAATGTTAAAACTGTTGCTGATATCAGGTCAAGTGAAGTGCATTGAGGGATAGAGTGTCAACAGCATATTTGTGCAGGTTATAAATAGAAACACAACACTTCTTAACACACTCACTGAGTCTCGCTGGTCTTTCTGGAAATGCGGGCTGTCTGTCTCCATGCTGTCCTCCTGAACGTCACCCCTCTGGATCATGTGACGTGTGCTGTCAATCAACGCCAGGGCTTCGTCCTGAACCATCTCACACATGCACAACAGCAGCTGGGGAAGCTGGGTAATCTCTCCTCCTGAACCAATTATTGTTAAACAATTTTTAACAAAACAAACAATATGCACACAGTCGATGGCAACTGTTCCAAACGCCAGTGAGCCGCCTACCTACACTATATTTTTAGACTGCATTGGTTCAGTGTTATTTTAGCATCATTGAGATACTATTATAGTTTTTATTTATTTATTTTTATTGAAGGGGACGTGATCCAAACTAAAAAAAAATCCAATTACTCTTCAAATATTTTTTCCTGAAGATAATTTGTCTCATTATAGGTAATTCTAATAATAATGATGTATGTTCAAATGTTCATTTTTTCCAAGAAGTTTGGTTTTAGTTACTTAATTGATGCTATAAAACCAGGGTGTAATGTCATGGTTGACAGCTGTGATTGCGATTGAATTTGCAGGACTATGGGCAGGACCTTAATACTGCGGCTCCACCTCAGGACCACTAATGGGCAGACTCTCTCATCGGGAACAACTGTTTCTGGGATATTTTGCCTTCATTTTTTTCTATAGTGGAAGGAAGTGGATATGATAAAAAATCTGACTTGGTTTTTGGAACAGAGCTTGGTTTTTCCAAACCAACATACAGACTGACCGTTGAGTCCTTGTATATGTAGAGCTAAGATGAGAGCTGACAGGAGTTTGGCTTTGGTTCGGTCCATGAGCTGTTGTTCAGCGTGCAGAACGCTCTCCATCATCAAAGACAAGGGCGTCAGTAGAGCTGGAGCAGACACCAACACACTGACAAAAAAACAACATCATGAGTTATCATGGAAAACAGGACTTTACTGCCCTTTGAAATAAAAAGGTTTTAAATATAATATTCATACTTTGCACGTGACGTCACAAGTACGGGCTGGCGGGCAAGAACGTCGTTCTCTAGCAACGAAACCCAGTAAACCAATCTAGGATCTTGCCAGGACGTTGCCAGTATTAATAAACAAAACTTGGTGTTTTGAGGTGTAAGCGACATGCCAGATAGTTCGCCAGTAGGTGGCGAGAACGCGTTCATCTGTACGTGACTTGATATATGATATGAGAAGATGAATACACGGAGAATGAATGACACGTTACTGTTGTACTGCGTCTACTTATTACTTACTCACAGTTACCTTGCATGCACAACTATTGTACACTTATTACTATACTACATTACAGCCGAACAGATTGCTAACAGGATTATACACATCGTTGATCTTGTCTGATGCTATGTGGAGTGGATAAGCAGGTAGGCTACAATGTTTGACATCCTACAAGCCTTATATGATACAGTTGGCATACGTATTTATTTTGTACTACTTATCAAGCTGTCATTCACCGGCAGGCAGGGTGTACATATTCAGATGAAGACTACATCACACGATCATGTCACTGTGTAACTTATTGCTGCAAACATTAGTAAACGGACCTTTGCTTTGACTATGAAGATATTCCTGTTTTTCAGCTCCCATACGACAGCGTTGTTAACCCATCCACTCTTCAAAAAAAGATAGCTATCTGTACTTTTGTAGGCTTTCATTTTTTGTGCGGTGTAAGGTGAAGGATTCTCTATAAGATATAACTTACGTAAATATCTCCAAACTCCAAGTCTGGTAGATATTTTAGTATCATTGATATTAGGGCTGCAACTAACAAATTTTTTGATAATCGATTAATCGGACGATTATTTTTTCGGTTAATCGATTAATCAGATATATCCAATTAGATCTTTTGTTTATTATAACTAAATAAAACCCTAAATCGGGGTTGTGGCGAGCAGGACGAGGCCGAGGGACCTGAGAGATGCGAGACCGGTGCGTCTCACAGGTGTCGTTCATTATCACTCACACCACCGGCCTCACGCCGCTCTCTCACCTCCCTCGGCCTCGTCCTGCTCGCCACAAGGGTATTTATGTGTAAAAGTGTACTATAAAAAGTGCAAAGGCCACACAGAGTTTTACTAATATCAATTGTTTTTAATGATAATTGCTGATGGAAAGTTGACAACCATGATTAATGTAGAAAAAAAAAATAATGATATCCAACATATTATGTTTTAACAATTGTGTTAAAAGAAATTTACACAAACATGTAGTTCAGATGTGAAGATATAAACTAAAAACATCTCAAATATATAATTCATTTTAATTTTATTTAAAATTAATTGAATTATAAGGATGAATTGATAAAATAAATATAGAAAGACTAAAAACAACCGTGTGAACGTAAAGCTGAAGACAACCTGATGCTCAAGACAAAATACAAACAACCCAAGTCTCCCAGAAGTTCTGGGAGTCTCCCGCATATTGATAGCGGCTTGCTGATGCCCGCAAATTAGTTAAAACTCCTATTTTTTTTGTCATTTATATTTTTCATTGTTCTGTTTGTTTAAATGTCTATATAGTTTTTATTCATAATTATTTCAGTTTTAAGTTAAGTAAAATAAGAAATGTTGCTTTGACAACTAGCTGAAATAAAAGTTTTTTTTAAATGTTATTTTATTTCAAGTAACAAATTTTTTTTAATGGTTTTAGTTAACTATAGTAGCCCTGATTTACACGTCAACATCTATTTAAGATTCAGTAACTTGGCAGAATTGTTGCTATTCAATTTAAACATGAGGCTTTGAGCAAATCATTTACACTACATAAATCATGAAGAAAAACACACACCTTTTCCACTGTTTGAGTAGGATGAGGAGCAGTGTGACCATCATGGAGCCCAGACGCAGACAGAACACAGACTGAGACATCAGCAGCTGAAAGAGAGAGATGATCACACTATGCCAGGAGTGACCAATCCTGCTGCTGGAGGGCCACTGACCTCCAGTGTTCAACTCCAACCCCAATGAAACACCTGAACAAGCCAATTAAGGTCTTACTAGGTATACTAGAAACTTCAAGGCAGGTGTGTGGAGGCAAGTTAAAGCTAAACACTGCTGGACAGCGTACCTCCAGGACTGAGTTGTGACATAGCTATACATTTAAAAAAGGTCTTACGTTTTCTTAGTTAGCAGTAAGGTCAGGACTAAATCTTTAATAATTATAAGCGTCTTAATTTAAGAACATTAAAGTCCCTAATTAGATAGGTGGGAGCTTGTATTTATAAGGGAACTTACTGCTGCTTTGGTACCTTCCAAAACGTCCATGAAAAGCTTTTGCCTGACAGTGTCATCCTTCAGATGCATCACCTCAGACTACAAACACACAACATACAAGATTGGGTTATGATAAACACAGTACCAGCAGTTATAACTGCACTCAGATAGTGAAGCATGTGAAGTTGAGTGTAGCTGCTCACATGACTGGTGGAGAGTATT